AATGCGGTCTAACCCGCATGAAACAATTGTTTTTTTTTTAATTAAAATAGTTAAAAGAATGTTTGGTCGCCGATCTGGACCAATTTCCCATATGGCCTATTTAAACGACCGATCCAAATGGTATAGCTAAAAAAAAAATTTATTATTATTTGAAGTAAATATAATTTTGGTCCCTTTACTTTAAACATTGTCCTTTTTTGATATTTTTTAATTCTTTTGAGCAATATTTTCCCTTTTCTTTTCACTTGAAATTGTTCTCAATCATTAAAAATATCATTTGCCCTTTTGAGATTAATGTTCAAACCTTTTTTGATGTTTTTTTAATTCTTTAAAGCAACATTTTTTCATTTTCTTTTCACTTAAAATTGTTCTCAATCATTAAAAAGATCGATTGCCCACCTCCCAAAAACTCATATTGGAGATAGAATTTCTAATTTACAATTTTACTTGTCTATCTCGACCACTATTATTATGAATCTTAAAAAAAGAAATTAAATATAAGATCAAGATGGATGAGTGGTATGGCAAGAAAGGATAAAATTAGGAATGAGCACATCGGAAAGAACTTAGCAGTAGCTCTAATAGGTAATAAGATAAGGGAAAGTAGATTTAGGTGGTCTAGCCATCTGCAGCTTTGACCTATAACAAAACTGGCTGAAAGGGAGATTTGATTTAAGTGGAAAGCTCTAAAAAGACAAAAAAAATGCCCAAAAAATTATAGTTCAAAGGAGTGAGAAGAGAAATAGTGACTTACATTTGACTGAATGTATATAATTTTGGATAAAGTGGAATGACATAAATGATTCATATAGCTAGCCTCAAATATTTGAAATAAAGCTCTAATGATGATGACAATGATTTTAATTCTTCAAAAATCATTAGAATTGAATATTATTTTTGAGCTACAAATTTATGAATCCGAGATGAAAGTAGATTTCGATTGATTTAAGATTTCTTTTGAACTCTAAATCCCTCAAAAACTAAGGTGGTAATACTTTCCCTCACAGTAAATAAATATTTATCCATTCTCTTTTTTCGTAAGTAATGGATCTCTCTGTTATCATTAACCTACGCACTATGAGACACCTTTTCTGGTCTTTATTACAGTATGGTCCACTCATGAGTGTTTGGGTAAATTGTCATTTGTGAACTTGAGTCTCAAGAAAGCCAAAAGGTGCTCTACTGAATAGAATATTCATCTTCACTCCCTTGGTAAAACATACCTGAAATTGATTTTAGGATCTTAAAATTTAGGCATGTAACCCCTTCATTAAGTAAATAAATTTTCAATAAAAGGAATTATATCTATATCTTTTTTGTACTTGAAAAAAACAATGTTTCGAGATTGAATAGAAAAAATAATATCTCGAGATTAAATAAAGATCATCTAATTTTTATATGGTAAGATCCAAGCATTAAAAAACTCAAATTTTATTTTTTAAATAATTATCTAATAATTCTGAAGTGGTACCCCATCTCTCTCTCTATAGAGTAGATTGCCACTTTTGAACTTGAGTGTGATGAAATGGGTATGGGCAATTTAACTTTGGAAAAAGTTTATATAAGATTGTAATTTTAGATATAGAATTACAGATGCACCGCAAAAATCCATCGAAAAATATTGTTTGAATGTTGAAAAACCCTCTAATTGATCATCTCGATATCGAGATATATGAATATGAAAAAGAAATGATTATGAGTCTCAGAAATAGTGCATCTTGCAACACATTATCTAGACCGTTCATTTTCGAGATTTTCATATATTTAAAGGCCAACTTGATTTTAACGATTTTTTGAGTTTAAAATTTTATAATTAAAAATAAAGATAAATTTTAAGATAATCTTAAGAAACTTTTACTCCAAAATTACATAACTTTAATTGGATTATTTAAAGTTGCAACCTCATAGAAACCGCACACTCTAACTTTTAGAGGATGGGTTGGTTCGTCTCTTTTCTCCTCTCTCTGGCTTTACCCCATCTCTTTATCTCTCTACAATTCATTTTTTAACCCTAAAAGCATGTGAGGAGAGTCAAAGAAAAAGGCCCACTTTTGTGGTTCCAGAAGGAGAAAACAGGAAAGCAATCGTGAAGGTCCAGTCATAATAAAAAAACAAAATGACATTAAAGGAAAAAGATAATAGCCATCTTAAAATTAAATGAATAAATAAAAGAAAAGGCCTGCTTGGGGGGGTTGTAGCCCCCCTGTCAAATGCAGGTATCTGAGGAGAGACGTAGCAAAACAGATTGCAGAATAGAATCTTCTTCTTAGTTTACCCATTTCTATTTTGCCTTCTCTCACATTAATCAATAATCTCTCTCTCTCTCTCTCTCTCTCTCTCTCTCTCTAGAGTTCCCCGTTGGATTTTGCCTTTTCTCACATTAATCAATAATCTCTCTCTCTCTCTCCATAGTTTCCCCATTGGATTTTTGCATTATCTCACATTAATAGGAAATATCTCTCTCTTATAGGAATCAACAATTTTCTCCAAATTAAAACTTACTAACATCCTCTTAATATTTAGATATCCTCTAATAGGTAGGTTTATCTTTTGATTAATGGATCTCTCTCTCATTAGAACTACCAATGACCAATTGGCCATCTTAATTGAGCTTATTTGTCAAAATTAGATCTCTTTCTTTCTCTCTCTATGAATATTTTTAAATCTACCAATTAAGGGAAATCTCTCTCTCCCTAGTGGCGGCAATGGGCTAGGGTCTGGCAACCATGACCGGAGGGTAGGGCTGGGCTAGGCCTGGCCCTTTTTTTTTTTTGGTTGGCCCGGCTGGCCCTAATAGCTAGGGTTGGGTTTCGGTTAGGGCCTCTTTGGCTGAGTCAGGGCCGGCCCTATGGAGACTAGGGCCAGGCTAAGCTTAGGCCTGGCCTGGCCTAAGTCCAACCCGTGGTCGGCCCCATGGAAATTAGGGCCCGGCAAAGCCCAGGTCCGGCCCGTTGCCCACCCCATGGAGACTAGGGCCAAGCCTGGCCCGGCCTAAGTCCAGCCCGTTGCCAGCCCCCCCTCCCTCTCTCTCTCTCTAAGAAGTACTAATGACCAATTCACCATTTGACATTCACTTAAGTTTCTTGAAACTGTATGCTCTTGAACTTAAAATTCACCTTATTTTCTTGAATCTCTCTCTATATAATCAATATATATTTCCATGTAGCAAAGCAACATTGATCTAAAACTCTAAACTCCCCAAAATCTAGACAACCCACCACACATGTGGCACGTGCCAACCACGTGCTAACCAAGCATGGGAAACTGGGCCTAACCAAAGTTAAATTTGACCGCAAAAATAGAAAGAAGAATAATGAAGAAGAAGCACAGAGGGCAATGTAAACAAGAGGGATGTCTGTCTCTTGTGTATTTATTATTATTACTCATTTATTTATTTTATTTTATGTTTTTCTTTTTTCATAAATTTCTAACTATTTAAAAATAAAATAAATATTTATTCCTCATTTATTTTTGGGGGGAGCAGCTTTAAATCCCATCACGTAGCCCAATGCCATTTTTGGCACTAGAAAATGATGGTTCATGGAAACAGGCATGGAAAATATTTATTAACAGATTATTCCCCCCTTTTAATAAATATTTTTGGCTCCCTTTTAATAATTTTTTTTAAAAAATTTAACTTGCGTTGAAAATTAATATATTCCTCCTTTCACGGGTTTGCATTGAGATCACAAAAAAACACACAAATTCTCTCACAAGGACACCACCCAAACCCCCAAAACAAACAAACATATTATTCCCCCCATATTTATTGTATGTAAAAAATTGCCAAGGGGTACCCTCAGAGTCCAATCATTTATAGAATACCCAATTAATACTACATGTGCCTTATTCCCCAACTAGATGTGACTTATTCCCCTATATTATGGTCTCAATATTCATGCCATTTTACCCTAGTGATCCACAATTGTTTGAAATACAATTTATTAATTTACTCTTGTTATTAGTGCAATTTACTCTTGTTATTAGTGTTAGATATTCGACATGTTGTGGAGTCTGGAACCGAAACCATGGAAATTAAGCAGGTCTCTCCCAGTTTTCAAGATTATTATTATTACTATTATTTAGGACTCTGCTATGTGCATAATTCTAAAAAAGAAAAGCAAATGTAGGTGGGCTGGCTATGTGCAACGTAGATCTAATACGAAACTTGTTAGAAGGTATGAGTTGGTTCATGTGGATGGTTCAAAAAAGACAAGAGGTAGGCCCAAAAAGAAATACTTGAAAATAGTGAGAAAATATATAGGGACTAATCACTTTCATTGAGAGTATAGTCCTCAATAGATCAGAATGAAGGAGTAGAATTTGTTTAGGATATCCAAATAGTTGAGAAAATGCTTTGATGATGATGATTATTCTGTCAGTTTTTTGGCAGACTTGATAGCGTCGATTGCCTAGCCCGAGACTCTGCATGTCCAACCTGAGTCCTTGCTTGAAAACACTAGTATGGAACATCATACGATTTATGTTTGCGTAGTTACACTATGTGCCCTAAACACCACCGTGATATTTGAAACTTTGTTGAGGGCATGGGTGCGGTCATACCAAAACTAATGCCACCGGATCCCATCAAAACTCTAAAGTTAAGCACTTAGTGGTATCCATTCCGACCACTAACACTACTCCATTAATACCTTTAAAATAGCTAACTCCTAACCTACTTAAGAAAACAAGTTGAGGCATGTCTTCTCCACTGAATGCCCTAGATAAAAACTTTGTTGACGGCACTAGCATGGTATTTAAAACTTTGCTACCTAGATAAAAACTTTGTTGAGGGCACTAGCATGATATTTAAAACTTTGCTGAGGGCACCGCCATGGCATTTCAAACTTTGTTGAGGCCAATATCTGACCTCAACCCACTAGAGAGTAAAAGGCAAAAAGAACTAAAAAGAGAAAATGGTGATATTGGGGGTGCAAAAGACACATATATAACACCTTTCACTGTGACATAAGATATGTATACTAGACAGTGTAGAGAGAGAGACATTTGCTGTATACACTTTTCATGTCTTTTGACTCTTTTTCCTCATTTTATATGTGTTAGTTCCTTAGTTTTGAGCTCATGGGTTTAGTGGTAGAAGGTGTTGGAGAGATGTTGGTCTCATTGGAAAACCAGAAGGCAGTTCCTGCCCCTTTTCTCACTAAAACTTATCAATTGGTGAATGATCCTTGCACTGATCACATTGTTTCTTGGGGAGAAGATGACACAAGTTTTGTGGTGTGGAGGCCACCTGAGTTTGCAAGGGATTTGCTCCCTAATTACTTCAAGCACAACAATTTCTCAAGCTTTGTTAGGCAGCTCAACACCTATGTGAGTTCCACAGATTTTGACAAGTTTTTTATCTCTTTCTATGTTTTTTTTGTCCTTGAGATTGGGTTTTGAGGGGTTTGAAGGTGTGTTTTTCTGCAATCTCTCCCCCCTCTGCTAATTCCATGAACGTTAATTTCTACAGTTTTATGAGCATGGGCTTCGCTTTGTTGAAGATCTCTATCCCTCCTCCCCCTTCTCTCTCTTCCCCCCACTATAATAAAATTTGATTTTTACAGCTTTAAGAGTTTGGGTTTTGTTCTCTCTCTCTCTCTCATTTCATAAACTTTGATTTCTACAGCTTTAAGAGTTTGGGTTTTGCATTGTTGGTGAATGTGACTCAGAAGCTCTCTCTCACTTTCTCTCTCTAATATTATGTTTTGTACCGTATTTTTTACCCTAGTTTTGCGATCCTCCATCTCCATCTTTAATCTTCTTTTGACTTTGTGGGTTTTCTTTTTATTTCATTATTGCTATGGTTTATTGGATGTTGAAAGAAGTCTTGAGCTTTGAATCAGTTGGCTCTTTGTCTTAAAAAGGCTCTTTTTCTCAGTCTGAGTGGTGCTCTCTCTCTCTCTCTCTCTCTCTCTCTCTCTCTCTCTCTCTCTCTCTCTCTACTCTACTACTACGTCTCTACTACGTACTACTACTACTACTACTACTACTACGTACTACGTACTACGTACGTACTACGTACTACTA